AAGGAAAGCGTAGTTGTTCCTTTTAAGTAGAGTAGAAATCATTTCACTTCTTCCTAGTGTCACAACCCCTGCCCGACCTTTAGTGGAAACACGAAGCAGTGTAATGCTATAAAGAGTGTCAATCCTATTAACCTAATAATATATGGATTTTAAAAGTCAACATAATGCTAGTGAGTGTACAAATTATTGTTTTTTAATTCCTTGAATTCCTTTAAGAGTACTTTTCTTTTTTTGAAAATATCTATTATTTATTAACCTAGACTTCTATCTTTTATCTTTTAGGGTATCTTTTTTTAATATTAAATTACTATCTTTTTCAGGATATCTAACGATCCTAACAAAATTTAATTAGGATTATATTTCGTTAACCCTAATTTATTATCTGTTAAGGATTTCTAACGATCCTAATGTATTTTAATTACCATACCAGGCGTCCCTATTGTAAATCTAAGCCCTAAGATAAATTTTAATGTATTAGAGTGATTCGCATTAGTCGACACTACAACCATACATGTACCCCTGATCACGACGCTTCATCGGACATCGAATACTAACTTATATGGAAGGTATCCTGTCGGAATTGTAACTAGCAATCACATCTGGGGTTGTCGTGGCCCCGTATAGATCTATACATAACTTCCTAGCTCTCACAATATTAATGATTATAGGTACTAGGGATATGCCAAATTTAATCAAGGCTTTTTGATAAATAACCAACTCACTAATGCATTAACCCTAAGCTTTTATCTTTTATCTTTTAATCCTTTATATATATATATATATATATATATATATATATATATATTTATATTTATATATATATATATATATTTGATAATTATATTTATGATCTCATAATTATTTGATATATATATATATATATATATATATATATATATATATATATATATATATATATATTGTCATATATATGATGGGTTTTGGTCATAAGACATCCTATGTGCTCATACAAATCCTAATGCTTGGATCTAGGTTTCTCTGTTGTACATGCTTTGAATCCAAGACAATAAACCCTAATTCTAGTATATGAAATCGATATTAACATATGAATGGGTTTAAGAACATACCTTGATTGTTATAGAGTAATAACAATCCTAATTCCTCCTTGAATTGACTTTGGAATGCCTAGAGTCACAAGTGTCACTCCTTTAATGGCTTACAAACACCAAGAGCAAATGGAAAAGGTATAAAGAGAGAGGAGAGGTATGAGAATTCATCTCTAGGACCTCTTGGGAAGGGATACACGAATTCATGAGCCAAGGGGTGTTTATATAGGTGTAGAGATAGAGTTTCAGTCATTATCCTTATCTAGTTGCTTATCCACAAAGCAACCCATAAGATAATCCTTGAATCCTTATCATAGTCGAATTCTAAGGCCTTATCACCTCAAATTCGTTCACCCTATATTTAAGATAATCCTTACCTTATTTTGTAACTATCACATAATTACAAATCAGCCCCTCTAGTTTAATTATTACACTTGATCACAAAATTAATTCCTAATTAATTATTGACCAATATTAATTAAACAAATATGATTTCTCCTTTAATATATTATTCTTATAACATATTAATAAATCATAATAACCTCTCTCTCTTTATTTATTTCTCCAATCAAGTTGCTTTGGTGAAGGCAACCCAAAAGGACCATGCACCATCGGGTCAAGTACATACCAAAATAGTTATGGACTTAGACACTAATCCAACAGTCTCCCACTTGGATAAGTCTAACAACTATTCTGCGTATGACTTCAGATCCTGATCTGCAATCGTAGCTTTCCAAAGCTGCTGTCAACTCTGATCATATCAGATACGCGTGTCCTTAGATAAGGGATCATATATTCCTCCATTCTAGATATCATATGAGATATGATTCTAAATCATTCTCTTTGTACTACTTCTCGATTTCTGATTTATGACGACAGACTAATTGAACAAATCAAATTAGCCCTAGCCCAGCCGAGCATTTACGTTTGTCATCACTAAACCATCGAGGGGCCCAAAGATATCGCTTTTATCCTTCTTTGGATAAAAGGAACTGATAAACTTTGATACAATGTTCGCTTGCACTCACCCACCGAATTACACACAACAATATGTTTTATAACACCAAGTTACTAGTGCGTTTACATATTATCAATGTGCAACCGATTAGCAAGATACAACTCACACATCTCGGTTTCAAGAATATAAGATGTTATTGTCTCACCAATCACTCGTAATACAATTCATGAAGTGATCCAAGTGAGCGTGGGTTTAATCCAATGCTCAAATCATATTCATAAGCACTCATGAACGTTGCAGCCACTACTAGAAAAACAGCCTTTTACGACGCTCATTGCGCGTCGTAAAATGCTCAGACGACGCACAAATGCGTGTCAAGGAAGGCCCTGTCATAAAGAGAGACGACGCGCTTTTGCGCGTCGTCTATAGACGACGCGCATTTACGACGCGCGGTTATGATACGCAATGCGTATCAAGGAAGGCCCTGTCATAAAGGAGGACGACACGCATCTGCGTGTCGTAACCCTACGACGCGCGTGTTTATGACACGCAATGCGTATCAAGGAAGCCCCTGTCAAGAAAGGCCATGTGATAAATGAAGATGACGCCCATTTTTGCGTATCGTAATTTTAATTTTTTTTTTAAATTATTTATAGATTTACTGATTTTCAAATTAAATTTGCATTTCATGTCTCATAATAGAAAATAAAATACCATATACAAAAAATACAATACGTTGCACAAAAGTTAATGTCATACAAATAATCATTCCAATAGTAGACAAATGTTACATTTAACAATTTTTATATAATTAACTAAATTATTAGCCAAATTTCCTAAAATACCAACATACTTTTCTATGAAGAGCATTAACACTATTCTTTTCCATCAAAAACTTTAAAACATGCATAATAAAATTAATGTGTAATCAGCTACAGGTCAATAAGGTAGGTTTAAGCAAAAAAGTTTCATAATAGTAAGATTTTACTTACCACTGTTGTTAATGACACTGAAAGAAGCTTCCAAGATTTTACTTACCACTGTTGTTAATGACGTTGAAAGAACCAGCCCAACAAACACCCCCCTCGGAAGGATTACTACCACATAACTGTTGATATTTGATACTTTATTACTAAATGAAACCAAAAACAAAGTTAAAAAGTCAACAAAATCAGAAGGTTTTATCCAAACATACAAAGGCTGTAATTCCAAATATTAATAAATGACATTGATTGAACCACCTACAGATTTACCATTTTGTCCCTATGAGATTCACTATTGAACACATTCTACAGTTTTAAGCTATATATATATATATATATATATATATATATATATATATACATATATATACCTGAGCGCTTTCTTCGGTGCTTCATGAATTAAAACACAGTCATCAAGAATTTATGACCATGACACAACATAGTAATACTACATAATCATAAGAAAAGAGAACAACTTACCTTGTCATCATTAAAATCGTACAAATCAGCAGCTGCATATGTAATCCATTAGAAGTTAGAATTCAATAAATAAAGTAAAAATGATGATGCATAAAAATTAAATGTACATACTGTCGTCCATTTTGAACTTGATTGCATCTTATGTGAATTTTTTCATCTTGGCATCAAGTTCTGTAGTTGCCTCTTCTCCCTTAGCAATGATTCTATCGTTATCTTCATCTATGATTGTACTATCCTTTGAACTGAATACCATTTCTAGAATGTCCAACATCCTTGTCATCTATTATAGTACACCACAAATTCTTTTAATATAATAAGAAATAGACTTTATTAAACCAATACTTTCATGTTGCATAACAAATATAAATATAAATGTTAGAAGTATGAACCTGTGAGAACATCAACACCCTTGAAGTCAAAAGTAATAAGTTGAAATGGTAAATACCTGTGAAACAGCATGTTTACACAACTGATGCACAATCTCATCATTCATTATAGTGTATGTGTGTATGTATAAGCAGCAAACAATGTGGCTTTACCTTCAATTTCTCACGTCTGATGATTCTTTCACAGATGAGACGTAATCTCTCCAATTCAACCTGCGAGACGATTTTTTTAAATCATGATTTTGGATTCAAATAATGTATTTTATAAACAGTAGTGTAACTTAGCCTGACTTTCTTGAGGGAACTGCAACCTGTTACCAAATAAAATATTTAAATACAACAACAACACATGAAAGTGAAAGTGAAAGCGTACGCTATGGCTTGTCCATTTGATGTTGCTGTCCCTTGTACAAGTTCATCTAATGCCACAACTGATCTACATGTTTCTGATGACTACACAACATATCCAATTTTATATCACTCACAAACCCAACACACACAGAGAGACAGCATAGATGCGGTTTCCAGCAGCTCGGTTAGAAATGTATTGTGGCCTGCCATAATATGGTCTTTTGCACCTATCCTCAAAAACATGCGATCAACCAGAAACATCTTAAAGCTTTGCGCAGGCACATCTGCCCCCACCTGGAACATCCATCAAATAACTAACCAGGGTTAACTACTAAGAGAGAGAGAGAGAGAGAAAGAGAGAGAGAGAGAGAGAGAGAGAGAGAGAGAGAGAACACATATTACATATATCTCTACATGTGCCAAAATCAGTGCTACACAAACTTGACGCAAAAGAGAGCAAATACATAAAGAAAGCGATTATGTTGAAACAAAACTGATTTAAGTTTATAATATTTTATTCTAGAGATTAACACAAAAGGTAGAATCATACCAAGACATTCTTCCCACATTGAAGAACTGGAGCTGGAACATACAGGTTACACTGGGGGCCGAAAGATTGAAAAACACCCAAAAAAATGAAAAAAATAAATAATTAAATAAATAAATAAAATTGTTAGGCTAGTATAAAAACTCGGTTCTTTTAAATCCACTCATGCAAAACAACAACATAGAGTCTTGTTATTGGGCTAGTGTTTAACTTTGGGCTTAGGTTGTGTTACAAGTTGCACATACGCAAGCTGCTTTTTAGGGTTTTGCGAGTTGAAGCTTTAATGAAATTGGAATATGGCTTGTCAAAAATGGGATTTATTTTTTTGGGTTCGTTTAGATTGCTGAGAGGAATTGGGAGCATTTTCCACTTGAGTAGAGGTTTCCCATCTAAGTAAACAGGGGATAGTATGCCCTATAAAAGACAATGGCATACATTAGTTTAAGAAACCAAAGGGTATAAATGTCTTAAATTGGTCTATGTTGTTTTTTTTTTTTTGCCTTTTACCTTGCTATCAAACAAGATTTGTCCATAATTCAAACGACCCATGTTTTCAACCTAGAACATTAACAAACAAAAGGTGTTAACATATTATTGAAAAAAAAATAATTAGTAGTATGTAAAGTGAACTGATTTACCAGAAATCCAGAATTAACAATTTAGTAGTGGAAGCACACTCAGTGTTGGGAATATTAACATGCTTATTTGACCATCGATTGATTGTTACAACATATTGTGGTCTTTCTTTCTTGTTTTTAGAAAGACATGTAACATACACTTAGGCTCTATCATGCACCTGAAATTAAGAATGAGAAACACAACACTATATAAATATCAATGATTGAAAACCACACGGTGGCATTTTTGTAAATTACTACAACTTCAATGGCATTAAGGAATGTGCATTTCATGTTATGTGATGTGCACTTTATCTTTACCTTTGGTATGGACAAAGTGTTCCCCTTTCCGTTTGCTACATATTCAGAGGTGTATAATAAGAATCCAAACATCTGAAAATGAGACATTGATGTTGAATGTTTTAAAATGAGAAAATTATTCTTTAAAATGATCATAAATACCTGGCCTAAATCCTCCATTGAAATTGGATTATCAGATTCAATAGCTTTAATGTGCACATTAGTGTCCAGTATATCAAATAAGGATGATGATTTTTCTAACTAAATTCGACCATATCCTGTCTTCTCATTATTCTTAGGAACTGGAGGGAGAGAAAATGCACTGTACTTAGATATAACTCTCCGCAATGCTGAAAAAAATAATGAATCATCATTATTATTATTATTATTATTATTATTATTATTATTATTATTATTATTATTATTATTATTATCATTATTATTATTGTCATTGATCTAATCTATTACCTTTAAATTTTGCACTCTCCACATCACCAGACTCGATAATAGGAGCATCCTAAAAAAAAACGGTTTCTATTTGGAATTGATCCATAATTATGTTCAACAGGAAGAGTCTTGGACCATGAGTGTTAATCAATGCTGAAGGTGATGCTTACAGAAAGAAATGGTATATCTTTAGTAAGATTTCCAGTCAATTTCCCAAAAGAAAAGTATATTTCTATTTCTTGCCTTACCTGTTTCAAAGCTCCAACATCATTGGTGCCATCACCACACATCAAAGTTACTCTCCTGGATGATTTAAAAGTTGTCATTATCAACTCTTTTTGCTCTGGAGCCACCCTAGCAAATACCTGATAATTGAAGTTGATTTTTTAGATAAAAATTCTAATATGAAATTGAAAAAGCAAATTAATAAAACTAAGAGTATGTTTCTTTTTATTTTCTCCATTAAGTCCTGTAGACAAAAGATTTCCATACAAAATGCTTGTTTCTTTTCTAGACTGAATTAAATCATCTCAGTGAGAGTACATGACCATTTTATCCTTGCATTCTAACAAACAATTTTCACTCAGTGATACTTACCAAGTCATGTGATGATTTTTTTCAATTCAGCCAAGACAGTAGCAAAATCTGTTTTGATAGGGCAATTAAACAGCTGAAGTTTATTTATATAACAAAAATGTTTACTTCAAACCATATATATATATATATATATATATATATATATATATATATATATATATATATATATATAAGATATCAATAAAAAAATTCCCTGCCAAGCAAACATGTGACTTTCAATTTTTTTCCTTACATGTATGTTGAATTTTTCATAAACATGATTGATTCATAGAAATATAAGAGTTAATTAGAAGAAAAAGAATGTGAAGTTATTAGACAAGATATGAAGGTTGGTGTGAATAATATAAATAGAATTACAACAGGGTATTGAAGATGGAGCTTTGGTTTTTCTGAAGGAATCATCGTTTGATAAGTATGTTGATGAGCATGGAGTTGTTGATTTTGCTAGGAGTTGTGGGATGAGCTATCCAAAAGAAGCAAAACGATTATTAAGTGCACTCAACAAGCAATCAGAGAAACAACACAAAGACTGTTTCTCTGAAAAGGTATATACTACTATAGCATACCTTTTTCTTTCTAGGATAAAGTCTTGTGCTGTCTTGATATAATATAAATAATAATAATATTGTATTATTTATTTATTTATTTTACAGGAAATATTCAATTTGGCTAAACATATTGGGATAAGTGAGGAAAATTTTGACAGGCTTGTGGAGATTATAAACACTACTGGGTTTGTAACTAAAAAGTGGCCAAAAACATATCAGGTAAATTATTATTAGAAGATGAATGGATAACATAACAACATTGTTTAATTTGTAACACCATAATATTAGCACCTATCCGATATTTTATATTTCTTTCATACAAGTGTATTCCTTCCTTACCAATTCAGTCCCATGAAGTTGTGAATCCCATTAATGGCATACTGCAAAGCTGCAACTGGTACCCAATAATCCGCAACAGGGAAATCTGAGGAGAGTTGCACAATTTGAAATGAATGCAGCTGCCAATGCCTTTTCAGTTTTTGGTTGAACAGGAGCCATTATATCATAATCTGCCTAAGAAAAGTACCCAACAGGGACATTTGAGAAGAGATTCGTGGTCATAATTATGTCACATCCTGCTCTGAAACATGATGATACACTGTTACAATTTCAATTTATGCAAATTATAAGCAAGAAATGAATCATGCATCTTTTTAATCCGAGTTTTTGATGGCTTATCTCAGAGTGTGCTTACCTACCCTCTTGCCTTATAGATCTCATTCCTAGGGAAGTAGTGAGCTGACTCTATTGACAGAAGAACAGAAGCAGTCCCTTCTTCTTTATGTAACCCAAATGAAGCAACAACCTTCTTCTTCTTCCAAAGGCTAAACTTGCATCCAACAAAACAAGACTTCCAATCCTTCATGAAAGCACCTTTTAAATTATCATTCATGTCATGTCATCACAGTAAGATCGTATACTTGAATCGTACGAAAAGGAACAACAATGGAAACATGAAATCGAAGAACTATGATACATGTAAATAATGCTAATCACAGTAGAAATACAAACCTCTTCATGACCAGAGATAAGTATTGGTTCTTTACGAAAATCTCTAGAATAAACTACAGAGTCTTCTCTCTCCAACTACTCCTCGCAGCTTTCCCCCCCAACAGATGCGAAACATCCATCACGACGGTAGACAAATCTGCTAAGGCGGCATCATCAATGGGATCAATAGAGAGTGATGAAAAAGAGTAGTTCGTGAACTGTAGGAACGATTCATCCCAATAGTTGACAAGTTTATGGTTCTTAATAAATGAGAGAAGTGGAAGCTTGGAAGAAAATAAAACCCTAGCACGTGCTAGAGAGAAGGGAGGTGGCGACGGCTTAGGGTTTACAGAGAGACGGGAGGTAGAGAATGAAGGGAGATCTAGAGGAGAGAGTATCAGAGAGGGGAGAGTGGATTGAAAGGATGTAAGATAGATATAAGATAGAAAAAATGAGGCGGGTTTTCAAAATTTTGGAGATTTCGTTTCCCCCTGCGCGTTTCATTAAAATTATAAAGCGACAGGTACAGACGACGCATGTTTAAGATAAAGCGCCCTCCGTGTTTTTAATTTTTTTTTCAGACACTAAATTAAGGGTACGCAGTAATGCGTGACGTAAATCCTTAAATTTTTTGGAGAGATTACACCATTTTAAGGGCACGTCCTTTTGCGTATCATTAATCAGTGCGTGTCGTAAAAAGCGCGTCATTAAAGGTCTGTTTTCTAGTAGTGAGCAAACATTTGCTTATGTCTAATACTCTTTTAGACAATCCACACACCAATTCACGACAGTCTTCATTCATATCTACTTCCAACATATGAATGACTGTGGCCCGTTCGAATAATTCGATTATTCTTAATAAACTCAATTATTCTGGAAGTCAAAACATGCAAATGTGAAACACAAGAATAATATTAATCCCATATGGCCTCAAACCTTTGAGTATAAATAAAACGCCTTTTATTTATCACCATATTGATTACTCTATTTGTCATTTCGGGTAATCAACTTCTTACTTGAATTCCAACACTTGTCCCATGCTCCTAGCATGCACACAATGTTTACCTATGGTTCTTACTTTTGTGAAATAGATCACATTGGACACCATTTCCAATCATTCTCATTTCACAACTCCGAATCCTTTTTCATAAGTGAAAGAATATCAAAATTCTTGCTACTTATAGAATATGCTGGATTCTAACACTTTATGCAATGATCCTTTCGTAATGTCACCGCACCAAAGTCACAAAGACTATTGCCAATGATATTACAAATCCTCTATCGGAGATTGTTACAATACAATTCCTTAGATATGATGTCTCTCTCTCAAAGTACATTCCTTTGAACATCCTTTTGCATAAAAGTTTCTAATCTAGACATAGATTTTCAATATTCAATTCCCAATATGGACACGCTTCCATATTTTCCATTTGAAAACTCATTTCTTAATAGAATCTTATCTATTCATAATAATGTCGATATGGTCCATCCAATATGGAAACATTTCCATATTTTCCAATACTATACTTCCAACTACTCACAAGCGACCAATCCTCGTCGAACTTTGGATTGTCCTTTGATAGTTGTTTAATTATTTTAGTCAAAACCAATTCTAGTCCCTTTTCCCTCTAAATGTGCTAGACATTTGGAAAATTTAAGAATGGTCAAACATTAAAGCATTTGCAATCGATCCTATACCCGAAGCGTATGGGACACGATGCACAATGTTTTATTTGCTATGTTCTTAAAATTCGAATTGTGAAAAGGAATTCCGTAATCATAATCGAAATTTTAAGAACACACTATGTACCTTTGACTAAATCTATTAACATTTCTCAACCTAATCCTTTATATTTGAAACGAAGCATAACATTTCATCCCTTAATTATAGCAAAACAACTATACAACCCTTACGACTTTGCAAGGTATAACTCTTGTTTTCTATAATTAATATTGCCAACTTGCAAAACTTTCCATAATAATCATACACTCATCACATTTATGCTCCCACTATTATGATTATTACTATAAAACATAACACTTATGCTCCCACTAGCTTTGACATGTATTCATAAACATCTTAACTTTCAGAAAGACAATACCTATTGAATTTCTTAAGTCCATGTTTCTAATACTTAGTGCTTTGATAATCTTTTATCAAGGCTTCTTGAACTTGTACACCTTTGCCTTCGATAGTTCATATGTGTGTCTTAACAATTAAGACTAATTGCCAAACCTCACAATTCAAATTATGGAAAGGGATACCGTAACCACGATCGAATTCGAGAATGCAATTTTACAATCACTATCCTTTTTAGAAATCTTTCTTAGTGAAAGCATTTCCTCACAATCATTTTCATGAAGGAGGAAATCTTATGACACTTAGATTTAAATGGTGTATTTGTTCCTATCCATGTGAATTTGTTAAAACCAAAGTTTACGACAAATTCAAACTCATATGGACTAAACTTTCTTAATCTTGATTTCTTGCCTTATGGTAGCACAACTGCCCACCACGTCTTCCAAGTAGTTAAGCAGCTCACCTTTTCCTATCAATGTACCTTTCATTGATTAAGGTGCCTTGCCTTTTATGCGTTCAAAATGAGAACTGATAGGACTCACATGCATAATTAACTCAATTGGAACAGCACAGAATCAAAATATTCCCAACACGATAGGTTGTAAACCTCAACTCGTGTGCTAGTGATGATCGATAAGGTTTATTTGATTTGTTCTTGAAACCTTTCAAGACCATTAAGACTCCCACCGACTCCTTGACATATAAGATTCTCTTGTCAATAAACATTTGTTGACAATCAAATATTCAAGAGTTAGTGTAGCTTTTATCAAAACACTTCATAAATTGGTCTAAGTTGGTCTTTGTCTTATTCAAGACATCACAACTTTCCACATTTTATGAATGTTATAAACCTTTAATACTTTTCACTCATTGACACAATCTTAACTTTAAGACTTGTTATTGGAACGAAGTATGATTGACTTCTTGATTTAAGCATTTCTTCAATTCTTGATTCCTCTACTTAGACATCCAATTGTACTAAGACTCACTTAGAGGATCAATTAAGATATGGTTCTTAATCATAAAGACCTATCATAAAGCATAAAAGGTACTCTCCTTTCTTCTTATAATGGAGAAACTTTTATCTTTCTGCCTACTTGACTCTTCTTATTCGTTCTGCTATTGATTTAAACATTTTCAATCAATTCAGAATTACACTTAATCATATTTACTAAACCTTTAGTAAATCATTACGAATGTCTTTGTTACTCTTATGGTGGACTTTGATCAACACGCAACTTTGTGTACTTGATCTCCTAGTCCTTCACTTGACACTTTGTCAATGAATTAGTCTAATTTCCAAAATATGAAATTTCTCATTCATCGTGCAACCAAGTTGCATGATTCCAAGTTTCTGTCCAATTGAAACTTGGGCGATGAGAAACTCTCCCTATTTGGTAAATTCTTGACTTTCCATAACACAATAAGAAACAAATCCATTATTGCTAATAATTTTAACATCAATTTTTCATACACGTCATTGTAAGGATAAATAAATAATATTTAAAATCAAAATTTATTTTATTGCGGAAAAATTTGTCCTTACAATGCAACTCATTGAAAAACTTATGCTAATACATCTTTCTTAGCAATCTAATTCTAACTCTAAGTAGTAGCTCAAGAATCTAATCTTCGAGAAACACGATCGAAATCCATTCCTTCACGGTTAGATTCTGCTCACTTCTTCCCTTAAGCTTCTTTTCTTTTCTTCGATCCTTCAAAACATCAATTGTAATCATATCACATTATGTATTCAGAATCTAGAATGAAGCTTAAAAGAGTTAGTCAATGGATTTTACCTAAATTAGAGCCATACGTTTCGACTCTCCCATCTCTTAAATCTCTTAGGTAAATAGTGCAGCTTCGTCTCCAATGCCCCTTCTCTTGGCAATAAAAGCAAATTCACTCTTTTTGGAACAGGACATGGAACTACTTCAGACATCGCCTTTCTCTTATGATCAATCTTTTCAATCATAGCATGTCTTTTGTTGCCATTGTCTATATCCATAGAGGTCTCGAAGGCAGATTCACCAATCAACTTTGCTTTTCTATTGTGCCAAACCATTGATGATTCAGCAGCAATAAGCATATAGGTGAGATCTATAAGGGTCACGTCGCGGTTCATCATATAGTACTCTCTTACGAACTCACTATATGAGTTAGGAAGTGACTGAAGAACCCAATCAACAGCCATTTCCTCACAGACAACGAATCCCAACAGTGTGACTTCATCCCTAGGACGTGTGCACACACCGACTTTCCTTTTTTATGTTCACTTGCCAAAAGGGCTTGAGTGATCTTGAACTTTTCAAGCCTTTGAACTTGTGGGTTAGGTAGAATAATTGGAGGAGGAGGAGGAAGTGAAGCATGATCTCTTGTTCCTCGATCGAATCGTGGAATATCATCTTCATGTGGAATGCTTGTTCCACGGGATTTGGGAAGACCATAGTTATCGAACTTTGACATCTACAAAACGGGAGAAAAAACGAATTCAAGTTAGTTGATAGATTGAGTCCTTAGTAAATCACCCAAATGAAATACTAAGGCTAGGACCCAACACAATATTCTACAACTCGGGAGAGGGATGCCGTAACCCAAATTGCAGAATATTTGAAGGTAAGTGAATGACGATTCACTAATTTCCACCACGAAAAACATGTAACACCGTAAATTTCAAACAATTTTTTTTTTGATTTTCTTATAAAACATAATTCGATTAATATTCATCAACAACCATATTAATTATCCAATATAAGTTAATACAAAATCCCAAGATCATAATGTAAAAACTCCGA